AATGGTACTGGCATATTTCAACGTATCAAAGCGCTTATCATCACTTTGCTTTTAAGTAACTCTCAGACAATCCTACCTTGTGCAGTTGCTACCGACCACATGCTACCACTCGAGCTACTTCCAAATATCTCTGCTTTTCGTATGGGTCTAACACGGAGGGAAGGTTTTTATTTATTCACCTGAAATTTTTGCCGTATTTTGATCGTGTTCTGCATGTCAGAGGGGGTACCAAGCAAATGAGCCGTCTTCGAAGAGATAAAGTAGAAATACAGCCCAGAACAAATGAAACCCTAGCGCAGTTGCGCCTGGTATTTGAGGACATGAGACAATCCGGTAGATTTTAGTGACTTGTTCCGCCAACCTCTACTCCCTCGGTCCCTCCCTACTATACAATATAGTGTAAGATAAAGTCTTCCCATTTATTACTTATCACTATTTAGCCTTGGCCCGCCCCTGTCTTAAGAATCATCTTTTGTTATCTCAAAAGTAAAAAATCATCGAAAATCAAAAAAATAAATTTCTCAAAAATCACTTCTTGGCACTATGCTCTTTGATTTTTGAAAATTTGAGCAAAAAACAAAGAAGATGACTGAAAAATTTACGAGAACAGCAGCAGATCGGTTCATTTACCTGATAGATTTCGGAGCATGGATTAGTGGATGAGCCTTCGACACCGAAATGCCAATCGTAGTTCCTATTCAAGTCCACTCCTTGACAACAGCGCTGCCGTGATACCGCAAAACGTCCTGGAAAGAACTGCGACATTACGGTAAGAGTGACTGAAGAGAACATGATTAAATTACTGTAAGGCCGCTACAGTTTAGCATTTGACCGTTATGCTATCGTAGTAAAATGGCACTGCTCGTGTGCTGAATTCGACATCGCCAGCGGGACAGCCAATCCCTCTACGATTCGTTCATTTGTTTTGATTGTAAACTGGTACTGACATCAGACTGGGAACGGAACTCGACACCTGCCTGATCCCAAACAGCAACTGAAAGGGGAACAGCAATCGTCGACCACTTTGCCTGGGAGTAGTAACTCGAACTATAACTTATTGATCATAGTCCAACAAACAGACACGTGTTCGCCTTTGCTGTAGCGCAGTTCAAAATTCGCATCCGAGCTTTAACGTCAGCAAAAAATTAAATCAAAATTCAAAATCTCTTTGATATTTCCCTTCTATAAAAGAACTAAAAACATTCAGAAGCAGCAGGATTAGCGGCCTGCGTTAACAACAACTAGCAAGGCATCGATGGCTTGTCAAAAAAATATCAAGAATATCAATACCACAAATACAGATCTAATTAAAACAAACGATTAGATAACTAAAACAAGCGAACAGACAGCTGCTTTGCTTTGTAACGTCAAAACCCAGGCTGGAACGCACCAGGCGAGCCGTGCGATCATGCGTTTTTGCATCAAACTTTGAGGTAC